AAAATCTGATTTTGGAATTTGAATCTTGAAAAGTAGGGCCTCATGTAATTACCACTAATTTCAATTACATATTTTATTGGAGCCACAACTTTTCAACCACATATTTTATCAATTTTTATCAAAAAAATCTAGAGTTTAATTGGTACCAAACATGTCATTATAATCTCCACCAAACTAGAGAACAAGAAACTATCTTGAAAATTGTGGAATATTGTTATGTATTTTTCTATGTTTAAGCCCATTTTTGTGAGAATATATTTTTAATAATAATTTTTTTAGAAGAATATATGATTAAAAAATAAGAAAAAAATATTCTTCTAAAAAAATTAGATTTATGTGCAAAAGTATTTTATTGAAAAAAATACATAGATAACCCGATAAAAATGAGTTTGGAGAAAAATGAATTTCTAAAGAAGGTGTTGTGAAATAACTAAAATATCTCTTGTTAGAAATAATATTAATATGTCCGGATCGCTGTTAACAATGTTGGAAATACAAGAATTATGTATTGTTTGAATACAACTTGATGAAACCAACCACAGGAATGAATTGTTGAAGTTATATGGAAAATAATGAAGTATTAGATCAAGTAAAACAATAATAAAGACAAGAAAGATGGCAGAGGAATTAATAGATTATATCGACTCAAGAATAATGGAAAATAGAGAAAATTACAACTAATCCTATAATTCTAGTAATCTATTTTCTCACACTTTTCAAATTATATAGAAGAATCTACTATTTATAGGGATCATGTAGGTGATATCCAAACCCTCATAGTAGAATTGTTGATGAATTAGAATGCCAAAAAATCGAGTCCAAAATGAAAATGAGAGAAAAACGCAGAAAACCGGAACATGTAAGGTGGTGTTGCGGCGCCGAGCATTTTGAATTTTTTTTTTTTTTGTTCCCAAATTGTTTTCTCCATTCCGAACTCTTCTTCAAATCTAATATCAATTTTCAACTCTAAATGGATTTCTAAAATAGAATTTCAACTTGATATAGAACTACACTAGCATTTCAAACTTGAATTCTCCTTGACGTGCTCTTCAATTAGAATTCTTCAATATTTCAAATAAGAAATTTGAGTCACATCCAAATTCTAATAGAAGTAGGCTCCAACATGGACTTTATAATCCCTTGAACTAAAAATAGCATTGTAGACATCAAATTGAACTTGAAAAGTCATAAAAGTAAAGATAAAGTAGTCACGATCTTAATAACTTGGTCTACAGCATCAAGCAAAAAGTCTATTTATAAGCGGTCAATATCAGTTTTTTTTCTGGAAAGATGTTCTTTAGTGAAGTTGATTGAGATAGACATTTGAAATTCTAGTTTAAAAATGTTCCTTTTTATTTTTTGCAAGGGAAAAACTACGGCAGTTGACCACTCATTGATTTGTTAGAGATTTGGATAATTTCTATTATGCATGGTGATTGTGCAACTATAATGAAAAATTATAGACTAATTACTCTCTTTTAAAGGTTTTAGACCAACTTACAGTTCTACAATAACGTAAAAAAATGGATTAATTTGCTCATTTTTTAAGATTGGGGACCAACTTGCTACTAAACAGTAGGTTGTATACAAATGGTGCAATTTTTCTTTTTTGTATATTCAATTAATCATATTATAAATTTTTCCTACACATATAAAAAGAGTGAGAGGCTTTCCTACTGTAGAAACTATCGTATCCTTAAAATGACGCCGTTTTTGATTGGGCGAAAAACGACGCCGTTTGATGCTTAG